CGAGATTTCAACGAGACTGAAACATCAGAAGAATACATCCTTAAGTATGACAGACGAGAATTTTGTCCTGTCACAACTTTATTATATTATGTCAAAGTTACAAAAAAACTGAGAAAATCCAGTAATGTGTTATTTTCGTTCAAAACTTTTTAAAAGTTTTCTACTTCAACTTTTGCTAGATGGCTAAAGTTAGTATTGCAGTCTTCAGGAATTGATATGTCTTTGTTTAAGGCTCACTTATTCAGAGGGGCCTAAACTTCTGCTGCATTTAGGTCTGGAATATCAATAAATGATGTTCTTAAAACTTCAAACTGGCGTTTAGTGAAAACATTCAGGAAATTTTACTACAGATTTCATGAAAATGATGATAATCAGCAAATGCAATCTGATGAATATAATTTTATAGTTTAATTTGCTAATGCAGTTTTATCTCAGTAACATGGAATTTTCTTTTACAGTATTAACATGATGGATCTTTTAACGTGGTACTACGTATTTGGTAAACTAGGACAGTCAGCAATTGGTGCATTGTTATGAGACATTATTTGTTTTATGATCTAAGAAATCTTCAGAATTTACTGGAATGAAGAAGTGAGAACGTTATTTTTATGTACCGTATACTTGTGGGATTACCTTTAACTAATGGATACAGTACCTGGAGATATATTGATGAACAATATTTTTCAGACAATTGTTTATTTTCTATGCTGTTACATTTGGTACAATTTATATTAATAACATAATCATTTTTTCGTTGTTTTCATTTATTGGTAAGTTTACAGATTCACATTCAACCCGAGAAGCCTGGTGGCTGTAATTAGAATGGCCCATTATCCAAGCATCAACAGGATGCAATGGATAAGGGGCATTCTAAAAAGAACCAAAAGGGCTTCGAGGGTTGAAGTTCCCACCCTCTTGTTATAAGTAGTCATGAAACAAGTTATTACTGAACTTGAACATGAAATTTGGTAGAAGTTATATCCTTAGTTAATCCTGTCTGGTTCAGATATGGAACATGATTAACATATGTTCATTTCGCCAAGTCAGATACTCAAAAGTAATATTTTCCTGGTACATATATATGTGAAGGAAATTTTGTTATTTCTATTTCCCATTTCTTCGTTTGGTATATCTGTGCTGTTATACATCCGGAGTCATTTTTTATACTCAAGGAGTATAATAATGTTGAAAAATAATGTGTCTTTATGGTTTGTTTTTTTTTCCAACCCGATAGGCTATGGAAACAATAAATGAAATAAGACTTGTCTTTAATGTTGGCTTTAAAAAGAGACAGAATTGTTTATGTCATCTGGTTTTATAGGACACAGCTCACTGAGCATAAGACGAAATCATTTCTGATTGTTAGATTTCCTTGTAAAAAAAGGTCGTCTACAGCCAATATGAATACAATATTCACATTCAACCCGAGATGCCCTTTGGCTTCCTTCTAAAATATCCCTTATCCATCCTTTGGATGCTTGGATAATGGGCCATTATCCTATTTAGATAGAGTATTGTTATTCTTCTGTTGTCATAATTATTTTTGGCACAAAGGGGAGAATATTCAAACTAGATAAGAAACACATTTATCAAAGAAAAACAAACAACACCAAGGCGGATAGAAAAACGACGATCAATTCATTGAAAACTAAAGTAAGCAACTTTAGCTTTCACAAATTTGATCCCGATGCTCTCTTAATCATGAAGAAGCCTCTGTCCAAATTTCCTAGAAATCCATAACATTTGATAAAGTAATGGTTGTCTAACAGGAGGCTCCTATAGAGCCTAATTCGTTCACCTGTCAAGATTCTGCTGTTTATAGCTTTTATCTATCTATCTATTATAGTTTTCATGATAATAGGCAAACTAAGTATAACAATCGTCGTTTAAGGTCAATAAACTGATCTATTATCATCCTGGGTTCCGTCATGTTTGTATATCTTGTATTGCTGATCACTTTTGCTGTTCACAGTTTCTTACTATCTATCAAAGTTTTTGAGAATAGTAGCAAATGACATTTTCACTCCTATAAGGGATCAATTTAAAATTTCAGCCACATTGACTCTTAGAGGATGTTATTTGCTGAAAATTTTTCTGAATTACAATTTCACTCAATCTTTTATAGTTTCTGCAAAATATAACCCATAAAAATGAATAAAATTCGTCTTTCGTGGTCAATAACTCCCATAAGTGTTCAATTGACGATTTCCGTCATATAAATCGAATTTTGCTGTTCATGTTTACTACTTAAACATCTATCTGCTGTAGTTCCTGTAAAAAATATTTAAAAAATGGGTAAAAATCATCCTTTATTTGCAAGAACGCCAATAATAAACTCATCATAGATACCAGGCTTAAATTTTGTATTTACGCCAGACGCGCGTTTCGTCTACAAAAGACTCATCAGTGACGTTCGAATCCAAAAATGTTAAATTGGCCAAATAAAGTACGAAGTTGAAGAGCATTGAGGACCAAAATTCCTAAAAGTTTTGCCAAATACAGCTAAGGTAATCTATTCCTGAGGTAGAAAAGCCTTAGTATTTCAAAAATTCAAAAGTTTTGTAAACAGTTAATTTATAAATATGACCATATCAATGATAATTCATGTCAGCTCAGAAGTGCTGACTACTGGGCTGGTGATACCCTCGGGGAATTAAAACTCCACCAGCAGTGGCATCGACCCAGTGGTTGTAAATAAACTCATCATAGATACCAGGATTAAATTTTGTATTTTGTATTATGTATTAACGGTTAATGTACATTTTGTCAATTTGACTTATTTGTATATCTTATAGTTCTGGAATTTTTACTTTAAAAGATTCTCTCTATCTATAATAGTTTTCAAGATAATAAAACACGCCAAAATTTGCTAAAAATGGAACTTTTCAGGGCAATAACTCCAAAACAGCTTGTTCTTTTTTTCTGAAATTCCACAGGAGATAGAACTTGACATGCTCATAATTTTTACCCTGTCAATTTTCCTTTAACTGTTCTTAAAGATAGAAGCCCAAAACTTAGAAATTTGCAGAAAAATGGACATTTCAGGGACAATATGTCAGAGTAGATTTTCGAATTTTTTCTGAAATTTCCACATGAGATAGACCTTAACCTGCTGCTAATTTTTACTCAATGTGAATTTCGCTCTCACTATTTCAATTTTTAGAGATTTAAGTCAAAATTGTATTTTTACCTCTATTGATTTGATGTAGATAGTCATAAATATAAAGCCTTACTACAAGTATCACATAAACTTAACATGATCCACGACAATGAAGTCAAAGTCACCAAATATAGTTGACTTATTGCTTATAGTACACAAGAAACAGACCAAACTCTGAAAAGTTTATATTGACCAAAGAACCATGAAAATGTGGTCAAGTTCAGATAATACCTGCCAGGCAGATAGATACACCTTACAATCATTACATACACCAAATATAGTTGACCTATTGCTTAAAGTTTAAGAAAAACAGACCAAAACACAAAAACTTAACATTAAGCAATGAACCGTGAACATGAGGTCAAGGTCAAATCAAACCTGCCAGACTAACATGTACATCTTAAAATATTTTCATACACCTAATATAGTTGACCTATTGCATACAGTATTAGAAAAACAGACCAAAACACAAAAATTTCACTTTAACCACTGAACCATGAAAATGAGGTCAAGGTCAGATAGCACCTGTCAGTTGGACATGTACACCTTACAATCATTCCATACACCAAATATGAAGCATCCAGGTCTTCTACCATCTGAAATATTAAGCTTTTAAGAAGTAAGTTAACGCCGCCAACGGATCACTACCCCTATGTCTTGCTTTCTGCGACAGAAGTCGCATGCTCGACAAAAACTTAATGCAAGGTTCATTCAGGTAAAGCATGGTTATATTGGTACAGCAGTTTCAAAGCAGAAGATTTTTTTTTAAAAGACAGAAGACGGATGCCAATTGAAGCAAATAGCTCACGTGAAATCTTACACAAGGTTTGATAAAAACATCAACCACAGACTATATCTATTATATAAGTGCAAAAAACCTTAGTCAATTTATCAGTAAATGCTGAGTTTTTGTTAAATAAATGATGCCCCCGCTTGTCTATCATATAAAGTTATAAAGGGACATAACTGAAAAATGGTAATAGTGACGCTACCCAAATTTGTACTTGATCTGAGTTTTGTGGTAATAACAATTGTGTATAAGTTTCATAACATTTGGTTGAGGCAAACTAAAGTTAGAGAATGGAAACGAAAACTTCAGCAATTTTTCCATTTGTAAAGGGGCATAACTCTAGAACAGTAAGAGTGACACCCCAAAAAAACAAACTTGATCTGTATTTTGAAGTAATAAGCATTGTGTATAAGTTTCATAACATTTGGTTGAGGCTAACTTAAGTTAGAGAACGGAAACCAAAAATTCAGCAACTTTTCCGTTTGTAAAGGGGCATAACTCTAGAACAGTTAAAGTGACACCACAAAAATTCAACCTTGATCTGTATTTTGTGGTAATAAGCTTTGTGTATAAGTTTAATAGCATTTGGTTGAGGCAAACTAAAGTTAGAGAACTGAAACAAAAAATTCAGCAATTTTTCCATTTGTAAAGGGGCATAACTCTGGAACAATAAAAGTGACACCCACAAAATCAAACTTGATCTGTATTTTGTAGTAATAAGCATTTTGTATTAGTTTCATAGCATTTGGTAGAGGCAAACTTAAGTTAGAGAACTGAAACGAAAAATTCAGCAATTTTTCCATTTGTAAAGGGGCATAACTCTAGAACAATAAAAGTGATGCCACCAAAATTCAGTCTTGATCTGTATTTTGTAGTAATAAGCATTGTGTATAAGTTTCATAACATTTGGTTGAGGCAATCTAAAGTTAGAGAACGGAAACCAACTTTGGGACGTACGGATGGACGTACAATGTATGTTCAGACGTACAGACCGACAAAGGTAAAACTTAATGCCCCGTCCACTACGGCGGGGGCATAAAAAATACTGACTCCTTTAATAACTCTTTTATTTCAGATATATTGACAGAAAATGTGACCAAGAACACTTCTGATCCGACACCTGTGTGTAAGTGTTTGAGAAACATAGCAATTTGTTTGTGAATTTAAAACTTATGGTTATAACTATCATAGGGTAAAAATCTTTGCACAACATTTTATTGCATAAAAACAATGTTCTTAGGATTTATACATAGACAACTTACTGTGAAGCCAGCTTTTAGGTCTCCAATAGTGTGTGTAAGAAACGCCACATGTGAGGTAGGATTCCTACCCTCGTACAAGTTTCTAACAATTTTATTAAGGTTTGACAAAGTTATTGATGTCTATCAATCTTGAACCGCAGACTGATACTAAATGTAAATAACACTGACACCAATGACAGATGTAAGTAAGCTATGTCTTGACTTCACAACTTATTAATGTGCAGATAATGTTAGATATTTGATAAGATTGCCACCTTGAAATGAGTCCTTTCAATGAATGTTTTCCATTTAATAACATATCATGGTAAAACAATCTACTGACAATGTGTTGGTAAATCAATAACAATGATAGCCATATAATTATCCCATTGTATTATCTAGTATGTAATCAATGTATTAAATATAGTTTATCATATGCCTGCACAATTTTATAGGTAATCTTAACCTTCAAACATAAGTAAAAATAAAATATAAATCTGTAGTGAGCTACTCAAGTTAAGCACTATGATCATAGTAACATATAAATCAACATCTATACAAATCATATCATTTTTTTCTTACTTTTCAATAAACTCTATTACTAGGGAGGTGTTTAACGACCTTGACTACCCACGAGGGCATGGTCGGTGAATAATAAACTCGATGAAATAACACAGAAAAAGTTTCCTTATTGAATTACACAATTAATGACAACTTTAAATATTCTATGAAAAAGATAATGAGTGCAATAAATGTGTAAGTTCAGAAATTATTGCGAATAATACGACTGGGTGACATATATCTGTATGCAGATTTTCCTGAAACTAACCTGCAATGGTCAATCTCTAATTTTTGTCCATTCTTCAAAAATCGAAATAATAAATGCACACAATAATTTCTGAATTTACAGTATAGGCTGTTATTTTCATTTTACCCTTTTATCATAATATTTTCAACCATTATGACAATGTTGGTTGATAGAAACAAAATAATTTACAAACTATAATCCAGATATCCTTAGGATAAATCATGTGAAACTTATATATGTATTAAATTGTTAAAACAATTTTAAAGTTGACTATCTTGAAAAAGCTTACAATGGATAATGAACAATGCCAATTAATGACAACAATAATTATTGATATCAATATTTCATATAAAAACCATGAAAAGTCAAGTTAAATAATTATGTATAAAAATATATACATCTGTATATAACAATCAACTACTATTGGGTGGATGGACAATCCCATTGCAGCTGTGCCTATCTCATACATGTACAAAATATAAAAATTACATTTCTGTAACACATGTCATTTACATATTTGAATAAAATATGTTTCTGGAACACAAGTCTTTACAAAAAAGATGAAAGTCTAGTGAAACCCAAAAGAATTTAATAATCCTTACCATCATTACACAACAAAAAAACAAAGAAAAAATTGTTGATAATTTGTCAATTGGCTCTATATAGAAATGTTTACTTTAATTCATGAGCTGCAATAATGTTCAAGAAAATGCATACCAGCATGTGTCAACTTTTAAAATTCAATAGTGCATGATGCATGTACCAATATAATACCACATTAGCAGTGAAATAAAATGAGATAAAGTAAAAATCTAATGTCCTAATCACTTTAAAGTTTCTAAGTAAAGTTTTTTTTTTTATTATGGATGGCATTCACATTTCTTGGACCTTATGGATATGGCATAAACTTAAATTTATATCCCTTGGACCTTCTCAATAAAACCTTCATATTACTGTTTAGAACTAAATTATGTGAAAAATAATTAAACAAATTGTTATTCATTTTAAAAACAGAGAAAATGGGTCAAATAAGTACACACCAATGTTTTTTTCTTTTTAAAAACTAGAGAAAAGTTTTTTTTGTTTTGTTTCCATTGTTAGAAGTTTTTCACTTTATGTTGAAATCAAAACAGGATCAACTGTTTTGTAAGAGAAGATGTAACACAAGGCAATTTCCAAGTTCTGTATGATCTATTGTCTTTGTACTCCTTGTTCATTCTTATTAAAACTTTCTGAATCTCCAAAGCAGGCTTCCTCTCCTCTTTCTCCTTAGCTAGATTGTTTAAAACATGCACTACAGAGTTGATAAAGATATTCTCATCCTTACCTAAAAAATACCAATATAGATAATTATTCAAATATTATATGCAGCTATCTTTTTTTAAACTAAAGCACAATTACATTGAAGGCTTTTCAAGGAAATGAATATCAATCTTAAAAGTCATGTCTTATTTGGCTGAATATATATATTTTTGAAGTCAATGCAGAAAAATGTATTATTCTATTTGTAGTACTGAAATTAATGTGCAAATCAAAGAACTAACAGCTGGTGGAGATATAATAATGAATGTATGCAAACAAACAGTTCATTTCTGGGCCTTTTATAGCTTAATATGCGGTATGGGTTTTACTCATTGTTGAAGGCTGTACAGTAACCTATAGTTGCTAACTTCTACGTTATTTAGTCTCTAGTGTAGAGTTGTCTCATTGTCATTCATACCACATCTTCTTATTTTTATATACAGTCAAACCTTTCAAGTCAAAGTCAAAGGTACCCAACATATTTATGACTTAGTTGAGGTTCTAGTCATCCGAGGTCGTAAGTTGCCCTGCTCGCAAAAAAAACTTGAAGCCATTTATAGAATGAAAATCTGTATAACTGTTATTTTCAAGAAAGTTGTCATTTCAGCAAAAATCAATGGAGCGGAACCAAACATAAACTCAATCTGTAACTCATCATTGTAGACTCACATACTAAAAATCAGCTCATAATGTGAAGGTGTTTAGGAAAAAAGTTTATATAACTGTTATTTTCACAAAATGTTCAAAGTCCAAAGCCCGTTGTTTTAGCAAAAATCAGCATAGCGGAACCAAATGTAAATTTTACCTGTAACTCATTATAGAAGACTCACATACTAAAAATCAGCTCATTATATGGAGGCATTTAGAAAAAAAATCCGTATAACTGCTATTTTCATGAAATGTTCAAAGTCCAAAGCCTGTAATTTCAGCAAAAATCAACCGAGCGGAACCATATGTAAACTTGATCTGTAACTCATCATAGTAGACTCACAAGTAAAAAGTCAGCTCAAGATGTGAAGGTATTTAGAAACTAGAGGCTCTAAAGAGCCTGTGTCGCTCACCTTGGTCTATATGCATATTCAGCAAATGACACTCTCCAACATTGTAGGCGATAGAATTCATGACAAAAATCTCTGTTTTGTTGATCTTGTATTACTGATCATTTAGTCCATTTGGTTTCTCTCTATCTTCTTTAGTGTTTGCTCATAACACAAAAGAGGGTAAAAAAAATCTTAAATTAAGGGCAATCACTCCTATAAAGAGTGACAGTCTACTAACTATATTGGCAAAATTTGACATTTTAGTAGATCTTTCTATCAATTTTGCTTATTTAAGTTTCTATCTATCTATTATGATTTTTATCATATAAGGCACAATGCAAACAAAATGGTAATAAGACTGTCATCACAGAGATATGTCTCGCCTTTTTGTAATTTTGATAATGCAAATGTTGAAATTAAAATAGCAATACTTTAACATGTAAGTTATGCAAATATTCAAAGTCAATGGATCATGACTGAAGGTACATGGCTAAACAATCTCCATGGAATGAGATGTGCCAATGCTAATACAACTGCATACCAAATACCATTGACTTATTATAAGTCGTTCCCTTTAAACAAACCTAAACACAAACATTAACTACACATACCACCCACCTTTTATACAATACTGATCACAGGCATATGTCAAAAAATCTGCCTCTCTTGGTATCCTCTTGGTGGTTGTAACTTCAATACCACCTGCTGCATCTGCCTCAGATGTTGCTTCAGGAATAGTCTGATATCAAAGAAAATAAAATGCTCCGCTGGGGCGCAGCTTGATACGAACGCAGAGGTCGAACACTGAACAGTTGGGGCAAGGATGGACACAACATTCAAGCTTGATACAGCACTGAATTTGGATTGTAATTAAATATTTGACACAGCATAGGTTTCTGACACAGAATTAATGTGGTCTAAGAACTTGAAATTTTTCAATTTACCTATTCAAACCATATCATTATTATTTGCTTTTATATATAAATCAGAAATAACCAATTTAAAGGAAAATTTTAAAGAAAAAAAAAATCCCCCCCAACTTTTTGAATCCCCTTATGATTCATCACCCCCAAACCCAATCCCAGCCTTCCCTTCGTGGTATGGTACCTTGCAGTACAATTTCAGAGAGATCCATACACTTGAACACAAGTTATTGTCTGGAAACTAGAAAAATGCTTGTTTTTTGGCCCCTTTTTGGCCCCTTATTCCTAAACGTTTTGGACAATTACCCCCAAACTCAATTCCAGCTTTCCCTTTGTGATATGGAACCTTGTAGTACAATTTCATAAAGATCCATACACTTACACACAAGTTATTGTCCTGAAACTAGAAAACTGCTTGTTTTTTGTCCCTTTTTGGCCCCTAATTCCTAAAACTTGGAGGCAATTACCCCCAAAATCAATCCCAGCCTTCCCTTTGTGATATGGAACCTTGTGGTACAATGTCAGAGAGATCCATACACTAACACACAAGTTATGTCTGGAAGTTACAAAAATGCTTATTTTTGGCCCCTAATTCCTTAACTGTTGGTACCATAACCCCCAAAATCAATCCCCACCTTCCTTTTGTGGTATTGAACCTTATGGTAAAATTTCATAGAGATCCATTCACTTAAACTAAAGTTAGAGTGCGAAAACCAATGTGTCTTCAGATGACAACGACGACGACAACGAAGACGACGCTAACGTCATACCAATATACGACCACAAAATTTGTTTGCGGTCGTATAAAAACAAGATAACATCATGGTAAAAGTTAGTGGAAGTCAAATAATGCTTGTTGTCAGCCCTATTTGAATGATAAACACCATTAAAGGACCTTGAATATATCACCAGGTAAAAACATCAAATAGTGACAATCTTTTAGCTGTTTTCATATTTCAAGCATTTTCCAGAAACAAATTATTTGTTACAAATATATACAGATTTTTTTATTGTGTTGACATTTGAATAAAAGGAAGACAAATAACAAACTTTTTCTTCACTGTAAGAAGAGCCTGGGTAGCCCAGTGTTCTAAGTAATTCATCTACATTAATCACTAGCCTGTCAACACTGCATGAGGTTGTGAATTCAAACCCTGCTCGAGGCAGGTGCTGCTGACTTCAATCTTAATTGACTAGGATAGAGAGGTTTCCTACCGAATGTAATTGGTTCTCTACCAAACTCCAGCTTCCTCTTCCAATAAAAAACTGGCATCCAAGCTATATGACAAGAGTGTTAAATGTGGCATCAAACACAAACAATCAATCAATCAATCTTCATTGCAAGTATCACAGTATTATTGATGTAAAAATTTGGATGAAAAACATGTTTAAGACTTTTCAGTGTGTATGGTGCATTGTTGGTTTTGGAGTATCTTTTTCTTCACTTTACAGTTTTTTTAAGTCAAATCTTAAATGAACATTATGTTTATAAAATTCCTGATTGGCTGTACCTTGGTATATCAATATTTTGTGTACATTGATTGGTACAGGAGCTTGGAGATGCAATATCGATACTATATTATTTTTTAGCTTTCTGTTGTCATCTTAATGATTATAATCATAAAACTTATACAAACCTGGATAATAAACAACTTTGGCTTCAAGGCCAGTGAATGATTATTTTGTGGTTGGAAGGCTTCCTGCAGGTGCTTTTGTTCTACAAATGGATGCTCCCCTTTTTCTCCTGGCTCTGCATGACACCTTATCAATCCTGATCTCCCATATGACATGACAAAAAACAGTACACAGGTATATCCTTCACCTCCTTTAGGTCTGTAGTTGGTTTCTTTTGCAGCTAAAAGTAAATAGAAAATTAAAATAAGATACCCCGGTACTGTGGATTCATTTATTTTCATTGGTATAAGTTATTGTGGATTGAAAATTATGATTGTAATATATTGACACTATATTATTTTTCATTTTTGTGGATACAGTCGAACCTGTATTACATGTATTCAGCAGTCACTCTTGGGAAGTGTATTTGATTTTGTAGTTTTGCCACCGAAGTATGCATACAACCCTATAGATAATTTGTAATTTGTTGTTCACCTGTATCTATGGAATCTGTAAAAGTCGTAATAATGAAATCACAGTAATTCCTTTTTGAAAATTTTCTCACCTTACATATATAGTGGTAAGGATTTAGTGCCACTGAATACAAGTTAGCATCTTCCCTTTAGCCAATTTTTTTTTTAGTTTCCTAATACATTTAATTTATTATTAAACAGGATAATAAACTATTAACACAGAGATATGTCTCACCTATTTGTTAATTTAAAAGTAAAACTTTAAACTGACCCAATCACTAACTTTAACATTTAAACTATGAAATTGTTTTAAAGTCAATGGACCATGATGACTGAGTGGACGAGGAAAAATAATCTCCATGGAAATAATATGAGCCAATCTTTATACAAAGGAATACCAAATATCATTGATTTATTATTAGTGGTTCCCCTTAAACTGACCTAATTACAAACTTTTACTATTTGTTGACCGGTACCACCGCCATCACAAACAGCATACCAAAGTCTTACTTTTTGAGTCAGTCAAGGCAAGACAAAAACCCAATGCAGGAAACTTTATATGCATGACACTGTATGACTAAAAAAGTTAACCTTTTATTGAAACATTGACAAATTACTGGCTTAGTCCTGTGGTGCAGGAAATATGTTAATTTGTGCAATGATTTATTATTGCTAAAATTACGATGGGATAGGATTTTCCAAAAAATAATCTTGTATTTTGAAAGCATTATTTCCTGAAATTACCGTAACTAATGTTGCATTTCTGTCAATTTTTCAACAATCACAATAATAAATGCACTCAAAAACTTCTTAATTAACAGTATATTAATCTTTAAAATGAGACAGAAACACATATTTTCATTTTTTTTTTAAACACTTTTCTCTTCACAAAACACTATTAGTAAATGCTAATATAGCTATTGTATTTATTCAATGGGACAATAGAACTGACAAAAGTTTAAATAGTTTGAACAATAGATGACTCTGCGGAAAAGTTCATTTGGTTGCAATAAACTTTTGTCTGTTTTGTTTTAATGCTGTTCGGTGTGAGCCAATGCTCCGTGTTGAAGGCCGTACCTTGACCTATAATGGTTTACTTTTATAAATTGTTACTTGGATGGAGAGTTGTCTCATTGGCACTCATACCACATCTTCCTATATCTAATAGCTATTGTTCTCTGTGTAGTTTATTCACTGGGACCTTGAAATTTGCAATTTATTTTGTTTTTGTTTAGTTATAGAATACATTTATGAAGGCCTTAATTTAAACATCGTCATTTTCCAGTTTTTATTTGTCAAACACACACAAAAACAAATTTCAATAGGAACAATGTTGAAAATTTTGTCAGAAATCAACTCTCAATGTTCGAATCAGTGTTAACATTGAACAGATTGAAAATATACTATTGATATTGAATAAATACAACATCACATGCAGTTTTTTTGAGTTGATACTTGTATTTTCATCTATTAAAAAGATATTTTTTACACAGGTAAATTAATCAATGAGTGATGGATTTCTCTTAGAAGAAATTTAAAGGTCCTAGTGAATAAACTACACAGAGAACAATAGCTATTGTATTTATTCAATAGGACAATAAAACAGGCAAAAGCTTAAATACCTTGACCAAGAGGAGATGACTCTGTGGAAAAGTTTCATTTGGTTCGCAATAATACATTGGTTTTACATTTACTGGAATTATGGCTAAAACTGTTCCAGATTTTAATAAGATAGGGACAAGAGGGGTCAATAGGTCTTTTCCATTCTATACAATCACAAAATATTTATTATAATTTTTTTTTCTTAGGGACACTCTTAAAATATAACCACCATTCATTAAATATAATGTGAAGTGCTTTCCATCCCAATCTAAATGATATTTCCTGAAAAGATTCATCTTTTGCCATTAAAACTATGCTAAAATGCAGTTTGAAGAGAATTGATATTCTACTATCTTATGGTACTATCTATCATATTACCTTTACTGTATAGGGCAACAAACTGACTTTTTGTCAGATTTTTGTATACCATACTGTCTTGATCTTTGTCCAAAGGTTGAAATCCAATCCTTTTTAGTGCTCCTTCTAGCTTCTCACAATCGCCCTTGGCATACACCCTGGTAGCCAATTCTCTATTATTTTTTGGTGTATAGCCATCCATAAAATTACTAACAATAACTGCTTTCCCAACATTTTCACATGATTTATAGGTTTGTGAATTAAATTCTTCATCCCTTATATCTGCAATCTCTGTGATTACAGATACGTGTGTTTTTCTACAAATTAAACTGCTGATTAGATTCCTACATATAAATTTTGTCTTCAAAATAAAGTATAAATGTGTTTTCAACACTCAACAGTAGTAGGTAAGAAGCAAAGGTATTTCATAAAATTTTCTTAGCATTTACTGTATCTATATAGATAAACTGTTGATATAGTGATATATGTCTCCCCTGTCAGTAGAAAATTCAAAGAAAAAAAAGAGAATCTCATGTACAGCAACATTGCTAAAAAAATTAAAGTGATCACTGCACCATGACCTAAGGGGCAAGGCTTCAAAATAGTCTTCAAAATGATATGTACAATAGTAGTGCAACTTTATAGAAAAAATCATTGATCTATCACAAGTAGTTCCTATCAAACTGACTTAAGCAGAAAACTTAACTAAAAATTACTCATTAATTCAAAGTCACTGGACCACGGGGGGAAGTGCCTAGAAATAGTCGTCCTACTGATATGTACTGATAGTTATGTAACTTTATAAAAATATCACTGATCTATCACTAGCTAGAAGTACCTATCAAATTGACTTTAGCAGAAAATTTAAGACTGAAAATTGATAAATAATTCAAAGTCACTGGACCATGACCTCGGGGCAGGATCTTGAAATACTTGTCAAACTGATAAGTACTGATAGTAATGCAATTTTATAGAAAATATCATTGATCTATCACAAGTAATTCCTATCAAACTTAAACTTAAGCAGGAAACTTAACATTGAAAATTGATAATTAATTCAAAGTCACTAGACCATTATCTACATTGTATATATGGGACAGCAGGGCCTTGAAATAGTTGTCAAACTGAAATGTACTAATAGTAATACAACTTTATAGAAAATATCATTGATCTTATCACAAGTAGTTCCTATTAAACTTACTTAATCAGAAAAAATTAACATTGAAAATTGCTTATTAAACTGAAAGTTGCTGAACAATCACCAAATTGGCAGGGCCTTGAAATAGTCGTCAAACTGATATGTACTGATAGTAAATCTATTTCTTGACGGTGCGTTATTTCATTAAGGGAGATTCCCCTACATGGTATATTTCCCAGATAATGGTTTTGCATGGGTAGTTTCGGTTGAGCGTATATGAGGAATTTGGATAGGTCTGTTCCATTAATGTGACGTTTGTTACAAAGTTGGATAGGATGTGTTGTTAGTATATTCAAGTTGTTTTATGTTAGCTTTCCCTCCCTCTCTCCTCTTTCTTGTAGTAGCTTCGACTCTAAATACTTATTTGTTTGGGAATTATACCATTGACATTGATATATATATATATATATGATTAAAGTTTTGTTTTCTGTATGAAATCTGATTTGATCAAAATAACCTCCTTTTATTCATATTACATGTATTAACTACCGGTATAAGATCTTCTCGAGAGAAAAATGTTAATATAATGTTTATATGTACATGCCAATTCTTCCCTCCTTAACTAAGGTATCTATTTGTTTTGTTTATCTGACTTACAAATCTTGAGAAGTTGGTTTCCTTTGAGAAGAACGGTCTTCTGGATACCCTGCAGCATCAGCTTGGTCATAGCTGTAATGCAAAATTAACTTTAGTATATACATATACTGGAGTAAATACATGTATTGACAATATGTATTAATTAAGAGATAACTGTATTGTAATTGAAGCTTTGCGGATGTCCATTGGTAGTTTTACTGTCGCAAATTGAGTTTACCTGGCTACGTGTAGCGGAGACAGGTAAACGGATATTTGCGACAGTAAAACTACCAATGGACGTCCGCAAAGCTTCAAATACAATACAGTTATCTCTGTTTTAATGGAAAATAAATACATTATTCAATTTAAGTCATTATTTCAGTGTAAAATGTTCATTAATTGAAAATTCGGAAAAAAAGATGTTATCCTTTTTGGCCCCTAAACTAGGTGACATCATAGGTATGCCTCCGGCGTCAAACTTAAATACCAGGCTTTTCTGGCTTCTTGGTCGCCTCAGAATGTAATAAAATTTGATAAAAAGAAAATTTCTAGGTGCAAAATGTGAGTTTTTTTGCTTAAATTATTGGAGAAATTACATGACAATACATTCCGGAATTCAAAATGTCGGCTTCCTTAGTTACAGACAAAAAGATAGAGAATTTTATGCTTACTGTCATCCAATCAGAACCATTGATACAAAGTAATTGCATTAGAATGATTGTTTTACTACGATTTGAAATTGGTAACTAAGTACTACATTTCCAACATTATTTGTTTGTTTTGGGTTTTTTTTCCAAAAGGCAAGCTGATGATGCCAGTACTATTTTGAATTTCATCTTGATCTTGTTTAATGAATTTTTGGAATCACAAGTTCTAAGTTTAGATTTTTATCCCCAACAACAGCAACTTGACACTAATGATTATGTATGACAACTGTCATGAGCTCATAACGTCTCTTTTCTATTTAATGATTGATTGTTGATTACTAAATGTCCAGTGGCAATTTTTTCATGAATATTCAGGATAACCATTTCCATTTAAGTGTGAACAGTAAGTCATTAATGCCACTTTTTACCGTATATTCGAGGCTTTGCTCCAGTACTCTTGATTGTTTAAGTGTGTCAATTTGACTGGTGAATAAATGGTGGTATTACTCATAAAACTCGGATCAGAATTTTCATGTGAGTTGAGAATATTTGAAATATTGTGATATGGCCTTGCAACAAATAGGCATAAAATACCAAAAGAAATAAATATTTGCAAAGTCGATTAATAACAGGCAATATCATGACCAAAAAAATAAAATGAAAAACAACAATCTACAAAACACTACAAAAACAAGCATTCTGAGAGTATTGCATGGCAATACATAGTCCCCTACCAGTTAAAAATTCTTTGTATTAGAACAAAATGCTAGCTTGATCTATAACTTGTCATGGTGTAAACTATATTACAAATGTCAAGTCAATATCTTCAAGCATGATGAAAAAAAGTGTTAAAAACTGATTATTTAATTGAATTTTCTAAGTCCAAGGACCATAACTCTGCACAAAATCATCAGACCGGACCAAAACTGGAACTTGATATGTAACTTGTCATAATAAAACAATACACCAAATATCAAATCAATATCTTCAAGCATAAAGAAAAAAGTGTGGAAAACTGATTTGTCGGACTGACAGATGGACAGACAGACAGACAGACGGACGAAGTGCAAACCTAAAGTCCCCTTCGACTTCGTCGGTAGGGGACTAAAAAAGAGAGACTGAGCAATACAAACCCCACAAAATATCATGGGTGATCTCAGGTGCTTTTAAAGGGTAAGCAAATCCTGTTCTTCATGTACATGTTCCACCTGTCTTGTTACTCATGGTTATTACAAATTTGATAAGTTTAATATTGATGATAAGTCTCATTAGGTTTTGTCCACAAAGTACAAGAAATGAAATTTTAAACAATTTAATATATATGTACATAGTATATTATTTGATTATATTTACAAACCCTCCTTTGGAATCCATCTGACTATCTCCAACCTTAGCATCTACCTCACTGTCTCCTCTTTTAGGTTCATCCTGATTATCACTCATAGTTATGTCTGATTTCTGAAATAGAAAGGAAAATCATATTTATACAAACAGTTGTAGAAATGTAACTACCCATGATTTGCTTACCATTGAGTAGACATTTATTTTGCCATCTCCTCTACAAGGCTTCCAAAACGGTCATATATTCCGGACATTTGTATAATGTCCGGTAAAAGTCCGGCTGGGCAAAGCACGAAACGGTCATCTACTTTTTAGATTTCAAGGCTTTCTTAAGAGACGGCCATTTTAACATAATTCGCGATCTTTTTGACCCAACATTTTGCCTTTAGCTGCCACACATTTCCGGTCATAAAAGTGACATGATCATTAAGTACTATCAAAACAACCCCTACTTTAATACCTTCTCATTTTAATCAAGGCTAATTAGTTGTTGAACAGCTGAAATTTACCTGTTCAGGTGACAGGTAAACTATTTTGAACCGGACATTGATCGGTCTATTCAAAGTTATTATCTTACATTTCACCGGTTTGCATCTAATTAATTTAGTCAAAAAGATTTAAATTATCAGAAATACATTTACAAATAAGATTTGATGAAAAAATTAAAGAGGTGAAAATGAAAAATTGTCATAACCACGTTGTTTGAACCAGAGACATGTCTCTGTTTGAACTAGTACACGTGTGCGCATGTGCATGTGCGCAGGTGTGAAATTTAATTATGCATCCTAATTTCTTAAAAAAATGCTCAAATTGTCATTGATACCTTTATCTCACGTTTATTTCGAATATTTTCTTGAAGAAATAACGTAGAATGAGCTACTTACACTCATTCATGCTTTGCAAACGTACGCGGAATTTACGTATCCGTCTCTGGTCCATGTTTTACCATTGTCAAGATAACATCCGGTTTCAGATTTAAAACGAAAGTAAAGTTTTTGACGTTATTTTGCACAAATAAAGAGACTAAGGCAGATATAAGTACGCTGATGTTGCAAACTTCAGATGATGCACTGCCAATTTAACAGTTTACATCAGAACTTCGAATTTGAATCAAAGAAAGTTTAATATCGTTTTTTTTAAATATCAATCATTGGGATGGCCAACTCAGCAACTGATTACCATAATTGCCTTTTGTTTATTTAGTCTTAAGGGATTAAAATCGGGATAATATATAAAATGTCCGGCTGGCTCAAAATAATTTTGGAAGCCCTGCTCCTCTAGATTATAAAACAAATAATTTTCCTGACTTGTTAGAACTCTCATAAACAATATAAAATATAGTTTTCAAATCATATGCTGTAACCCAAAAAATGTCTTCAATATAGAATTCTGCAGTGCACCCTCTTAGGAGTGATAACATAGACCAAGCTTGGCTGGATGTACAAAACTTCTGAAATTAACAAGCATTCTGTGAGTATTGCATGGCAATACATACATGTAGTCCCCTACCGGTTAAAAATTCATTGTATTGGAACAAAATGCTAACTTGATCTATAACTTGTAATTGTAAACTATATACATGTATAACAAATATCAAGTCAACATCTTCAAGCATGAAGAAAAAAAGTGTTGAAAACTGATTATTTAAGTGAATTTTCTAAGTCCAACGACCATAACTCTGCGCAAAATCATCAGACCGGAACAAAATTCAAACTTGAACTGTAACTTGTCATGATAAAACTATATACCAATTATCAAATCAATATCTTCAAGAATGACAAAATAAAGTGTGGAAAACTGATTATTTTAGTAAATTTTCTAAGTCAAAGGACCATAACTTTGCACAAAATCATCAGACCGGAACAAAATTTGAACTTGATCTGTAACTTGTCATGATAAAACAATAAACCAAATATCAAATTAATCTCTTCAAGCATGAAGAAAAAAAGTGTGGACAACTGTTTTGCCGGACTGACGGATGGACAGACGGACGAACGGACAGACAGACGGACGGAGTGCAAACCTAAAGTCCCCTTCGACTTTGTCGGTAGGGGACTAATTAGTATTGCTGACCTGATTCTTGTTATATCTTCATTTTTATGAACTTTTAAATTCTTCAAAACAGACATCCAGAGGGGTTAAAAGGACATTTAAGCACATATTGGCAGGTAAGAGTAATCAGACTCTACCTGTACTGTACATAGATAAAGATTCACTACAAAATAAATAAGTTAATCACAATACATAGATGAGGGTCTATATTCATGATATTGGGTTTACAGAATAGAGAATACATGGAATAATGGGCCAAAAAATAAAGAATAGAGAAAAATAGGTAAAAAAAAAAAATAAAGAATAGAGAAAAATAGGTAAAAAAAAATAAATAAAGAATAGAGAAAAATAGGTAAAAAATAAAGAATAGAGAATAATGGGGTGTTAAATTATGAAGAATGGAGAATAATAGGCAACATAAAGAAAAGAGAAAAATGACAAAAAGAATACAGAATTGAGGAAGCTCTCATTACGGACCTTCATAGAGTTCACGAATGCTAAATTCACTAGAAATAGTTCCACAGTAGGATAGTCAAATGTACGTATTTTAAGAGTAGAGTGGGTTTCCCCATGAAAGATGAACCAAAAAATTGAAAAGAAACTCGCACATCATTTCACATAATAGTACATCAAGGAATTGTTTATTTAAAAGGAATGGAAACGCGGCTAGAGATCAATCATGACTCCCGCGGAGGGATAATCCATGTCTGATTCGGTCGGAAGTATGATAAATAATATAAAGAGTCATGACGGAGGTCCATTTCCTGTCATAAATATCGGTCATCTAAATGCACTGGGTCATCTTTCTTGAGAAGATATAAAGGAGAGAAAAAAACCAAGTCAAGTATAAACTACTATTCCATGTAAAAGGTAATCCTTAGGTATCATTTTAATGCCTTTTCAGACATATGTTTCCAATATTTTTTTATGAAAAGTCTTATTAAAATAGACCTCGTTCTTGAAATTTGCGAGAGTTTCATCTGGATAACAAAACAAAAAATACAGTGTTTTGTTTTTTTCTAAAGGCTCGACAACCATGAAAGGCAAAACAAAATAGTTGATATCATTATGAAGCTGAAACCTTATTCTAGAACTTTAACTCTTTTTTATGTTTCTGGTAAAATTTCTGAATTTTCTACGATTTTCTAAAGTTTCTGTTTGGAATTTCATTATTCTGTCAAAACGTATCTTTCAATCTGGCAGTGTAATACGATTTTTTTTAAATGTTGAATAGTAGAAGGAACAAAGTGACAAAATGAGATATCATTTTAAAGAAGGAATATTTTCCTTGCTTTGAGCGTTCCTGACGAAGGGAAATCCAGAAAAGTGCTTCGGACGCATGAAATTATTAAACGTGTTGTTTTCAATTTATTTCCTACAATTTGGTCTAAATTACGAATGCTAAATGTTATTGGTACATTGTAAATGATTTTATTTTCAAACATACTGAAAATTTTAAGTAGTGCTTCAAAAAATACACCAACACACTATATTCTGGTAAGGGTTAAATAACTAATTGAAATAGACATGGCAGTGAAAACAATTCAAAAGCTTAATATCATTTCTATAACATGGTGTTGGTTTTATGAAAATGGTGATAGAAACGAATTTTCTATGATTTTTCAAATTCCCTTGCTTATTTTGTTCAGTCAAGTTCCACACCGACGAAGTCTGAAAATACAGGCAAACAATGTAGAGAATTCCACTTTGAGATTGACTGGGCCGTTTTATACACGATTTAATACATTTAAATTTTTTCATATACAACTTTTAATACTTAATCATGTTAATCGTTATTTGATATTGCAGTTTGCCATAATTAAGCGTTGCCGCAAATTACCATAAGACAGCAAAACAGTTCCTTCCTTTTTTTCTCGCAGAGCAGTATAGTCTAGAGGTCGCAAAATATTCCCAAGTGTTTAAAAAAAAAAACAAATATGTAAAAGTTTCAACTGTTTCTAATTAAAAAAATTTATTGCACCACAGCATAATTTGGCATTAATTAACAGGTGTGCTCAACGTGATTCGTTTTTGAGATCTTAAATATATACCACACAAATTAGCTTATCAATGATACGTGAAAGATTATACCGTAAAATTGGAATAACCCATACAGGTGTTTATTATAACACCTGTAATTTAAGTTCTTTTATCTAAATAAAATGCTACATCTGTTACTGATTAACTACTTTTTCTACACCAGTCATATTCCAAAACTAAAAAGTTATTTTTTTCACGTTTTGCATTACATTTCTTTCGCATGAAAACTATTTGAAAACTCGTATAACGTCCAATTACATCTCATTGTTGTATACCTTCATGAAATATCAAGATGAAGAACAAGAATAAAATGTTTTTCATAAGTAACTTTGCAAGTGGTTGTATTGTTGTATTTTTTTTTTATTTCATTTATTTTTGGTTTCATGATTATATCAACTAATGTACTCCTTTCAGACTGCATAATGTAAGTACATACATGACTAAGTTCAATAACTGCTGCCAGATAAGTAATGAGCCAGTTAGAGCGACGGGGTGTAATTAACGCACCGGCCGAAACAGAGATGCACCATAAAATGTTCTTTGAAGTCGGCTGCGTTTCCATTCCTTTTAAATATACATAAGTATTAAAGGTTTATTCCACATAATCATGATAATAAAAGTGTTAACATCTAAACAGAGACATATAATACATATACAGTTGAAATATATGTCTCTGATCTAAATAATAACCCCACCACTTGTATGCATATGATCTGAACAAAGCAAAAGTACAAAAAGCAGATAACCATGATAAAGTGAAACTAACAGACATGTGTATAACAGAGAGCTGGGATTGTGAAAGTATGTACTTCAGGTTTAAAGTTTGACATATCGTTGTCTATTTATACAATAAAATATATTCTAAATGTAACTAAACCTTTATGATTATTAAAAATCGTTTTAACAAACCTCTCCCCTACATGAAAATCGAGAATATTTCCTCGAAATACTGGTTTCCTGTTCTCTTTTCCTTATTCTTGGCTTTTGTTTGGGACAACAGTCGGTCTACAATAAAGTAAAAAATCGAAAATACTACCGGTGATGAAAATTTTCCGCACTATACTGTGGTGGACCTGAGACTCACATTTATAGTAATCTCAACATATAATATTATATGTCTCTGGAAGTTCGGAATCGGACGGATAAGTCAAATGAAGGATTTATATATTCTTAATACGGTATGTAAATCCTTGGTCAAATGTCCTCTTTAAGGGCATACGATACAGTAGAGATTCCTCGTTGATTTTTTCTTGAAATTTTGGTACAAGGTCAATTTCGATGTGTACTTTTGAAATATGTAAAGAAAAATATACCTTCATGACTTACTTTTTGAGATAATTTGGTTCGAAATTTGCATATTTGGAGCGAAAACACTGAAATTTCACAAAAAAGGACTTTTAAGGAAAGTTACAATACTTTTGAACGAACAGTCATAACTTAACCGGGTTTTTTGTAAAATGTTCCCTTGGTCCATGGCATGACCATTCTGTAACAAGTTTAAAATTAAACCAAACAATTATTTCAGAATTTATATTACTATTAGTGAAATAAAGAAATTAGCAATATTTTTGCGTCTTTTCAGAAGTGCAGAAAAAGTTCGATCGTTGATTTTTTCTTAAAATTTTGGCGGAGCGTTCTTTAAACATTATTTGATTGATTGCAAAAGAAAAAACTGGGGGTCCATGTGCTTGTTTTTTCAATAAAAGCAATAAACCTTGATTTTGTAATGACAAACCAATAGGTTGCCAATAGGGCGCTAAACTACGTTGAAATAAGTTTTAATCGCAATAACGTCGTGAAATCATTCCCGCCGTTCACGATTAGGCTGTCAAGTTCATTGGTATAGCCAAGGTTTTTTTTCGAAAACAATGATACAATGTATTAATCATCAAAATTTCAAAGCTGGTTACTCGTAAAATAGCATAACATATTTGCCAAACTTTTATGAATTGTTACGAAACTTGGATACAAAAATCAAATACTTTTAGAAAAGAAAGGTGCGGAAACAAAAAAGATAAATCTGATAAAAAAAAAATTTGCATCTCTGTCCGACATTTGTCCGTCAACTCATGTAGACAACACAACTTGGGCATAATTTCAATTATTCAAATAGCCCCGACATGACAAAATATGAAACAATTATAAAGTAAGTGGGATACTATAAAGATAAGGACAGTTGGTATCATTGCCAATGAGAACAACTATCAACCATAGTTCAAAGATGAACGAAATTAAAGGTCACCGTACGGCCTTCAACAAAAAAAAAAGCCACACTGTAAAGTCAGCTTTAAAAAGCCCCGATATAAAAATGTTATCAATTTAAACAAGAAAACTAACGGCCTACTATATAGGCATTATATGAACACAATACCATACCCACATTAACTCGGGTCAGCTTAGAACTACTCTGAACATGTTTAAAAAGTGAATATTTAGAGCAGTTTCGGGCAAATTCATGTCGTAATTATCTCAATATAGTCCATTACGGTGTAGTTAAACATTTCATAGGAAGTACAGCAGTCGGTATTAGAGCATGACATTGCATTATTCTGTATCAATAGATAAGTTGCGTAAGCTTGTCTTCAAGGTATTTCTATACCCCTCCCCCCAATTCCGTTGTTGGGGGGGGGGGGGGGGCATATTGTTTTACCCCTGTCTGTATGTCCGTCCGTCCTTCTGTCTGTCATTCCGTCTATAATACGGGGCTTATAACTGTGTCTTTTTAACTGACAGTTCTTTTTCATACACATATACACATATAATTTCCACTGGGTTAAATTCTAAAAATGCCGTTTAACTTTTTAGTGTACTTATTCAAAGTCAGGAACAGTATTGGGTGTTGGCTTTATTTATCATGCTATTTGTCATTTTGTTGATAGTCTCTGTTAAATTTATCTGTAAAATTTTCCATACGATTTAGAGTTTGCAAAATGGTGAAGATACTATGTTTTGATCAAGACAGTACGTTGATATCTAAATTACTTATTGGGCTTTTTGTGTAATTAGATTTCTGTCTCATCGACGTATTATTATTTACACATCTTTTATTCATTTCCTATTTGAAATAAAACGCATACAAAATTATGAATGTGGTTCGATTTTTTTCACATTTCAAGTTAATACTGTTGACCTCATTATTAATGAATAAATATAACAATTTTCTCGTGATATGGCCGATTTTCTTAGCAGGTACTTTGTTTCAAATTCGCGCAACCGGAATTATGACGTGATATAGCTGATTTTCTTAGCAGGTACTTTGTTTCAAATTCGCGCAACCGGAATTATGACGTCAGTGGATTTTCCGCAAATGTGACTACATTTAACTCGACGTCGCGAAATGTAATCGTTCTTATTAGAAACTTCTCGAAATTACAACGTTCTGATTAACAACGTCGCGAAAACAACACGAAAAGATTTGAAAACGTTATTATCTGCCCCTGCTACTGTATCGTATTCCCTTAAAACATCTAAATGGAGATAGTGGCGTATATCATATATCAATTTGATTTAAGAGGAATGAGGCAAGTTTCTTTAGGTATCTTTTATACCTAAAGAAACTTGCCTCATGTATACAGTTAAACCAGGACCAATTGGTATATTCAGGATATATATATGTTACTCATGTAGCTAGATAGTATCCTACAATAACTACTATTACAATCCTTGGTTATACCTGTCCAGAGTCTCTGACCTGTCACATTATAAAACAGGCCTATAATCATCAATGATCCGATGATGTCCCAGGTCAGAGATATTAAGTGGCATAGATAGCGAAACAATAGTGTAGAGTCTAAATATTTGAAAAGACTGGAACAGATACACGCAGACTGGTTTTTCAACAGCACTAGTTTAATATTAACAGGAGGTCACCTGTAACTGATAAATGATGCAAAGTCCTGCATGCATTCTGATAATTTTCTGACAATTACACTAATGACAGGAACACCTTTTGTAAACATGTTCAATAGCAACATCTTAAATTCTGGACCTTGAAGACGATTTTTTAAAAATTAAAGCTTTAGTATCCATAAAATATATCATGTATATATTCCAATAATGCAACTAATTCAGAGAGCATGGAGAGAGGATCACTTTATGATTACAATAGCCATTATATAGTCGCTGTAGTCACATCAGACTGTGTAATGGACCTTTGGTATCGTGCATTGAACTACTTATATGGACAATTTATTTATTTCATTTAAATATACTTTATTAGCTCAAATTACACGCAATATATAGGACCAACGGCATAATTACAAACACTTAACAATTTAAACAACATTATGATATGACATCTATATAAAACAAACTATTAAACACACAATACAACATTGAGTGCCCCTGTCCTCAGTTTCATAGACTGTTTAGTATAGTAGCATAAAGATTTCGCTTGCTGACCACCGGTAGTGCTATAGTATAGTTGGATTTAGAATATGTTTCATTTTACTGTAAAAAAACTATTGGAGTTTGAAATCATTAAAAAGGTATGACTTATTTTGTAAAAAAGTGGATTCATCATCCAGAACTTCGAAGTCTTCTATAAATCGACATTATTTTTAAACATTAATGTTCGTGTACCTGCGGCAAGCGGTTAATTAATGTTTACAAAATTAACATTTTATATCAAATTTAACTCAAAGAAATCTATCCTGTTTGTTGAACATGGAATAGGAAAATTATTAAAATTCATAAACTTCAATGTATCTAGTCGGCTTTGAAATCAAGATCTATATTCAACATTCAGTAAATTTCAAATTTCAACTTTATGACGATTGCATGCACATGAGATGATACTGCTTTCGAATCACTTACACATTCTTATCTTGGACCTAATATTATAATATATGCTATATTCAACCTCTGATTAAACATTTCAACTGTGTGATTTTTTAAAAAATAAAACAAAAGCTTAGACAGCCCAAAAACTACGATTTGTAATCGTATGCTTTTCCCCCTTCAACATTCTTGGATCCACCCCTAAAACGCATTCATAGTGTCTTCGACTGTTAAACTAAAAAGCGTTATATATAGTATAGAAAAACATTTGAGTCTTATGCAACTTTTGGGTTTATAGACATTTCTGAAAACTGGCTGCTAGCGGAGTGGCTGCTAGCGAGTGGCTGCTAGCTTGAGCCTAGCAAGCTCGACTAATAGGTTGTAGCTCTTAAATTGAAATACCCCTCATTTCTGAATCTGTACCCTTCATAATATGATTTCCATTTCTTTTCCGTCAATCAATCACTAGAACGCAAGCGAATTTTAAGAATAATATAACATGCCAAGAAGTTGCCTTCGTTGAAATTTTGCAAACATCCCATAGAGCAAATTACACGGATGATTAATATTGACCATTTGGTACATTGCCGTGTTCTAAGCGACACGTACATGCAGGTCATAAATTAATTTGTTGAATGAAATCAAATCTTTAACTACTAATGGGTGCCGTAGGAGGTCCCCCTGAGTTTTGAGAGAGGATTTCTTGGCATGAAATAAAGAGATGTGTATGGCAAGCCGTTTTACTATTTATTCTAACTTCAAGATATCTAATAAACTTTACAAGATATCTCATATAGTTTATTCGATATCTTATATAGTTTATAAGATATCTTATAAATTATATGAGATGTCTTATAAACTATATGCGATATCTTATAAACTATATATGATATCTTATGAAATATATGAGATATCTTATAAAGCATATAAGATATCTTATATAAAAAATATTTATAAGATATCTTAAATACTTTATAAGATATCTTATAAAGTTTATAAGATATCTCATATATATATATATATATTATATAAGATATCTGATATATTATATGAGATATCTTGAAGTTCGAATAAATAGTAAAACGGATTGCCATAGATGTGGTATGATTGCTAATGAGACACCAATTTACCAGAGTTCTAATAATATAACGAAATCAGAGATCTATATTTTAATTAGACAGTATAACGTAGTATAACGAAATCAGAGATCTATATTTT